CCAAGATAAAAGATTTCTTAAGTTTTTCTTTTTCTTCTCTATAATTCCTAAGGCTGATAACAAAATAACCCCAATGCATGAGTCTGGAGAGCTGTATTTTACTTCTTCTGAGGACACTGGCAGTAAAACTGATCAGCAAGCAAAAATGTCTGAGAAGGAGATGTTGGGGGATTCAGGGAGTAGCAGTTTAAGGAACAGGAGGCAAGCCTCAGAAGAGGAAAGAGCCTTTGGTCTTTCATTTGGCAGATTAGGTGGCATCCTCTGAGCTCCAGGATTTCATGCCAATTAACACCCCAACTGGGAGGAGGAGGGAGCAGGTAAGCATGAGCTAGAGCACAGGAGGGAGGATGAAAGAGCAGAACGACAGAAGGAAATAAAAAATACAAATTAAAGTACCGCCTCTGCTATCCAATATGCCTTATCTGGCTTCCTGCCTTATAAGAAACATATAACAAATAGCTTATATTAATTAAATCTAGAAAGTGCTTCTTTCTACTTTCCAGAGGAAGTCCCTCTTTTAACAGTCCCAATTATAGTCCTTCATTGGTTGATCCCCTATATTAGACCATAAACATTAAAGTCAGTAGGATGAACTTGAGCAAATGTGTGAGCTCTTTGAGGACACGGTTATCTCGCTCAATTTTGTATCCTCAGCACTAAGCACAGGGCAGCCTTTGAGCAAACATGTGCAACCTATCACAGCAGAGCCTCATTCCCCACAGGCAGACCTGGGAGCAACATCACAGGATTACAGCAGCGGAGGCAGAAGTCTGTGACTGCGGATTGGGTCCAGGTGTGCTTGTAAACCTTCCCAAGAGGCTCGCCCTCATCATTATCTTGGCATTTTTAAAAGGTGGGTTTAAATGACCGGCTGCAAATACAATGGGATGCTAAGTCAGATCTTCCTCTGTGATCTCAGAAACCATCTGTCTTGGCTGGAGAGAAACTATTTATAGCAGAAGGGACTGATGTGGTGTCAAGACCAGGTCCCAGAGGCTTAAATCCTCTGAAGACAGCAAAAATATCTGTTGGACATACAACAAAGAAGAGACAAAAATCCTAATTGGGAGCGTTGGAGCAGAGGCTTAAGGAGCGTCACCGGGACTCAGAACGCACTGTTTTCCTACGCCAGAGCTGAAGTAAGGATGCACCACTTAGCCAAACGTACAAAGGTGCTTTTGAGAGTGCGTCCCGACATTTCCCACCGTTTCCTTTTTCATATGCTGTCATCTCAGTTTGCTGCCTTCCTGCTGGCTGGATGCAATCCCAAGACTTGGTTGGATAATGTGACTTAGAGTGCCAATTAGGTTGCATGTTCCTCGTCCAAATTTGGAGGGGAGGGAAAAACGGCAAAATGAAAGATCCTCATTGTGGTAAACAATAGCGTTATTTGTCAAAGCGCTTTCCATCCCCCTGCTGTTCAGCCTCACTGAAACCACAGACAGGCCTATAGATTTCTCATGAGTCTAACTCATGGCTTTTGATGAGGTACCTGAGGTTAGGAAATAAAAGCTGTGTCCCATCTCTCATTTTTAAGTGGTGCTTATACTTCCAAGGACAATGGGATTTACAGCCTCAAAAGGCAGAACAATATATTATGGACCTCAAGATGCTCTTAAAGAATTTTTTTTTGGCTGCCTCATGGTGGCAAGAGAAGCAGAGCACAGTGTTTAGCAAACAGTCTCACATCCGGGTTGCAGGAAGTGAGGGAGCTTAATGGAAGCCCTCAAGAGCAGCACAAATGAATGCAATATGAAAGCCCCAGGGCAGCACGGGCACACCTTGTGCAGGTATTCTAACCAACCCACACAAAGCAAACTCCTGTTAACAAAAGCAAAAGCAAAACCACAACTCATACAGCTAGGCCAGACACGCTGATTAGATGTTTCTGATTTCCTACGGGAAATCTAGTTCTGCCTTATTTTAAGCAACACAGAGAGACCTACAGTTACAAAAAATAAATCAGAGGGTTACTTTTGCTTTATGAAGGAATTCACTAAAGAATTTCCTTAAAATGTAATTTCCCAGGTTCATTTCAAATATAGCTTTATTTATACAAATTCGATTTATTTAATATTTAGGAACACCTCTTTGGGAAAACGAGGAAACAGGCCCTTGGAAGGGAGACATTACCCAATGTTCAGGATCAACCAGAAGTTTTTGAATACTATCCCAGTGGCTTTAGTTTGACGATGTTATTTTATTTATTGATGTTTTCTGAGACAGAGTCTTTCTCTGTCACCTAGGCTGGAGTGCAGTGGTGCTAATGTAACTCACTGCAACTTGACTCCCGGGTTCAAGCAATCTTCCTGCCTCAGCCTCCTGAGTAGCTGGGAGTACAGCTGTGTGCCACCATATTGGCCAATTTTAAAAATTATTTTTTGTAGAGATGGAGTCTTGCTATGTTGCCCAGGCTGGCCTCAAACTCCTACCTTCAAGCTATCCTTCCTGCCTCATCTTCCCAAAGTGCTGGGATTACAGGTGTGAGTCGCTGTACCAGCCCAACATTTTTATACATAAATAAAAATTTCTACTGTTTATAAGATCTCTGATCTTCACCACAACCCAATCAGTCGGGATTATTAAGCTCATTTTGCACATGTAGAAAATGAGGCTCGGAAAAGGTACATGTCATGTGCCATTCCCCACTATGTGCGAGGTACCAGTCTAAGCCTCATGCTAAGGTCATCTCTGTGATCCTCCATGTAACTCCAGAGGGTATAACTGTCTCTGTGAACAGACCAGGAAATAGACTCGGAGAGGCTAAGAAATCTCTCAGAGGGTAGAGAAGAAATATGGCTGAGAGCTAGTAGTGAGGAATGGTCGAACATCAGCTCTGAGTTTAGCTGAGGACAGATCACGGAAGCCAGAGAAGCCAGGGAAGACTTCATGGGGACAGGCAGCTTGAAGAAGGTCCAGAAGTCTGATGACAGCAGGAAAAGAAGGGCAGGAAGAGGGCAATTTGAGAGGAGGAAGGGAAGCAGAGCCTGAGAGGCTGGAGTGCATCTGCAGGTTTGGGGGAACAGTGGTCTGGTCTGGTCTTATGCTGATGGTATATGACCTCCTACGTATAGTAGCAGCTATCTAGATGGCTGGCAGGCTCGCCAACCTGTTTATTTGAACTGCTAAAAGGCCAGATGACCTTTAATTGGAAGGCATTATTAAAAACACAGGTCAGGCATGGTGGCTCACACCTGTAATCCTAGCATTTTGGGAGGCTGAGGCAGGAAGATTGCTTGAGCCCAGGAATTTGAGACTAGCCTGGGCAACAACAAGATCTCGTCTCTACAAAAAAATAAAAAAAACTAGCCGTGGTGGATGCCTATAGTCTCACCTACTTGGGAGGCTGAGGTAGGAGGATGGCTTAAGCCCAGGAGTTGGAGGCTGCAGAGAGCTACAATGTCACTGCACTCTAGCCTGGGAGACAGAGCGAGACCCTGTCTCAAAAAACAAAACAAAACAAAAACCAACCTCCCGCGTCTCAAAATTAATTAAAAATATAGCCTAGGCCAAATTACTTGAAGGGAAATCTGTAAGAAGAGTCTGCCTCTTTCCCCATTGACAAAAGCTGAACAAAGAGTATTCCAAGCCAGAGACGAGAAATATAAAAAAGTCTGGGGCCTCAAGGAGGCAAAGACCCATCAAAAGGGGCTGGGAGCTAAACCTGGCTGCTGAGCCTGGTCAACTCCAGGTTTTCCCAGTTCCAACCAAGCTTATAAAAACATCACTGCGTGTGCAGGAAGCCACACACCATAGCTTCTGCCTGCACAGTCAAAGGGAGAATTCAGGACATAAATTATCCTGAACTCCAGAGAAAAGTTTTAACAATACTTTCATCAAGCCAAAGGAGATAAATTCATTTAGTAAATAAACACCACGTTCAGGTTCAAGTGAGGTGGTTCACTAGTAGGATCGAGCAGGACTCTCTAGGTTGGGCTGAATTGAAGGAGAGAGAGAAGCACCATGACCAGCAAACATGTAAAAGGCATCATTACCCAGGTTTCTGTAGCATAACTCGTATATTGTTCTTGAGTCCCCTAGTGTTTTAGGGGACTAATATTTATTACAGAAAAGTAAAGTAGGACCTCCCAACCCCCCAACAGTACTAACACAAAAACATCATAATCCTACAAAAATGGAAAAAAATACTCTTATGGATATGTTTTATCTATAAATTTGGCATGTACAATTTATTCCTTACTCAACAAAATGGGCAAAAGAACTACCAAAATATTCATTTAAAAACATTAATAAGAGTGACTGTCTTTGGGGAGAGGCCCTGGTGTTTTTGGGGAGAGTGGTGGAGGGCAGGGCTAGGACAAAAGGGTAGAGGGAGATTTTTCACTTTTTTTCCTTTTGTGTCAATTTAACTTTTGTATAATATACAGGTGTTACCTATTAAAAAATATATATGCATTGGTTAATCAAAACCCAAGAAATACTTTACATTTTAACAGCACTATTGATTAATGATAAACAAAAAGTACTGAATAATCAAAAATCAATCATCCCAGGAAAAACTAACATTATAGACTGATTAAAAAATTATGAGGACATGAACATGATCAGAATAAAATAAACCCTAAATTGTTGGGCTGGAATAATTGCTGTATATTTGACAATTGATGTATGTTTTTTATCTAGCATTCCATTAAGTAAAAATGATGATGATGATAAGAATAACAATAGTTCTGACTTATAGAACAGTCACTTAATGCCAGACATTATCTTAAATCCTGTTCTAATATTTCTAAATGCTGCTATGATGTTGTTGGTATAATAAGCATTTATAAAAATACTCAATATCCTAGATGGAGAAAATCCTGGTGAAAATGAAACACTGAGAAAAACTTGAAAGCTAGCTAGAATAAAGGTGCACATCTATGTATAATTATGTTTTTTTCCTATACTGTGCAAAAGCCAAGAAATGAAACAGGGCCATTGTGAGGCTCAACAACTAATTCTGTGACAGTGGATATATTTCATGTCTAGAAACTTACCAAGGGTGTGTCTTTTCCTCCCACAATGCTGAGACCAAGCCCTGAACGTCCCTTGGATATTTCTATAATCATTTCCTGGCCAGGGACAATGGGACATGTCGCAGGGTCCACTGACAGAGGAGCCTGGAAAGCACCTGGAAAAGGAATGAACACAGAATGACAGGCAAGTAGGAGACGCAGCTCAGCTTGCACCCTCTCTGACTCTCGGAGTGGGGGCTTGCATGTGTTTATCATTTCAGTCTTTTCCTGCAAAGCACCATGAAGGAAAAAGCTGGGTCACTGCTGCCCATTCACCCAGGGATGAAACATGACATTCCTACAACCCTTTTGAGATCAAAACAGTAAGTTCCCCCACCCCTCAACCCATCAATTTTTGTTATACTTGGAAATTTTTAAATCTTAAAGTACATCATGAAAACCTATATGGAAAAACTTAAGATGATTAAATGATTAGGTACATAAGGACTATGTTATAATGAGAATAAAGGCTGGTATGACAGGAGACTTTGACTTACAGAATATTAATTAAGAAACAGTGATTAAATACTTTTAATTAGAGCATATCAGATGAATTAAGATGTATAAAGGATTTAATCAATAAAGTATGATATACTTGAAAATAGCGATTACCTAAAATTTATCCCTAAATATATTATGTATACAGTAAAAAAAACCATAACACTCAAAAATTATTTGCTGGGCCCATAAGGGAAAAGGTTTATAAGAGTTATTGCTATTTTATAAAGGTTTATTTCTTAAATAATTGTTTTAGACTCAGTTTTTCCAAAAATTGAGAGAAAAAAATTGTTTTAAAACTTTTTTGTAGACACAGAGTTTTGCTTGTTGCTCAGGCTAGTCTCAAACTCCTGGCATCAAGCGATCCTCTTGCCTTGGCCTCCCAAAGTGCTGGGATTACTGGTGTGGGTGACCACACCTGGCTAGAAAAAAATGTTTATAGTCTAACAAAAGATGTTTAAGAACACCTTTTTATGCATCATAAATTCTAAATACGTGCATTTTCCAAATAACCGAACTTAACCCTTTAAAAAAATCAAGCCATTCAAAATGTTAAATAATTTCAAGATACTCTCATAAAATAACAGTCTCCAGAGAATGTTTTGATAACCAAGTTTGATTGTCATGAGTATTGATTCTCATTCAGGAAAGGGCGGATGATCAATGGCCCCATCTGCTGGTCAGCTGTGGCTAATGCACAGAAGCCACTACAAAATCCACAATGTTCTTTAGACCTATGTAAAAGCAGGGATTGAGGGCCAAGGATGGTTTTTACAGTTTCAAAAGGTTGAAAAAAAAAATCAAAAGAATAATAATATTTCAAGACGTGAAAAGTATAGGAAGTCTAAGTTTCAGTGTCCATAAATAAAACTGTATTGGAACACAGACTCACTGATTCATTTACACCTAGTCCACGGCTCTCTGGCTGCTGGCAGGATACAATGGCAAGGCTGAGTAACTGTGACACACTGTGTGGCTCACAAGCCTAAAATATTTACTATCCAGTTCTTAGAGAAAAAGTTTGCCAATCTCTGGTATGAAACAAAAAGATTCATAGGTAAGCCTGTGCGGGGTTTTGCTCTAAGCAATAATCACAGTCTTTGCGACAAAAGGGTTTTGGAGTGGCGCAGAGGTGGATTTGAATTCCCAGGAAGGAAATTAATAGATGAAACTGGGGCTCACTTCTCATGCCTGTAACCACTACCTAATAGGCTGCTAGAAGAATTAACTGAACAGTGTGTGTGAGGTGCCCAGCCCAGAGTCTGGCATATTACGGGCATATATTTGCTGTTTTTGTCCACATGGAATTTATTAATCTAATGGCCTTCTGGTTAAGAGCAAAAAATTTAGTGACAAAACCTCAGTAACAATAAAAAGTGCCATATTAGAAGTAGAATATTAAATTGTAAACCTAATTGGTCTCTAGATCTTTTTGCAGCATATGTGTTTCATAGTATATTTCCTATTAATTTACAATAAAAATGATGTACAATAGTGGCACGATTTCATGGATGCTTTTTTTTTTCTTTGAGAAAGAGTCTTGCTTTGTTGCCCAGGCTAGAGTGAGTACCGTGGCGTCAGCCTAGCTCACAGCAACGTCAATCTCTTGGGCTCCAGGGATTCTCCTACCTCAGCCTCCCAGGTAGCTGGGACTACAGGCATGTGCCACCATGCCCGGCTAATTTTTTCTATATATATTAGTTGGCAATTAATTTCTTTCTATTTTTAGTAGAGATGGGGTCTCGCTCTTGCTCAGGCTGGTTTTGAACTCCTGACCTGGAGCAATCCGCTCCCCTCGGCCTCCCAGGGTGCTGGATTATAGGCGTGAGCACCATGCCCAGCCTCATGGAGCTTTTAAAATGACTAGTATAGTCTCCTGAGTGAGGAGAGAGAAAATAGCAAGAGATACTGGAGATTGCTTTTCTTCTCCTCCACTGGCCTCACGCTGGTAGTCCTGAGTCAGTCTTTGTATTTATTTCTCTCTCACACGAGATCCAGCTCAAAGCCTGGCTCATACCAAACTCTCAAAAAACGCTCGGTAAGTGGATGAGTAAATGAATAAAATTTCCACAGATTATAGGATTATGAATTTGCTATATAGGTATAATATATGATACATAGTACCAAAGCTCCATTGGTCTACATCCATGTTCAGCAAACTTTCTTGTAAAAGGCCACATGGCCACTTGGTATTTTGGGGATTATGGGGTCAGTTTCTGGTGTAACTATTAGTACCATTATAGTCTAAAAGAAGCCATAGACAATAGGTAACAAATGAATGTCTTAATAAAACTTTATTTACGGACACAAATTCAAATTTCATATAATTTTCATGAAATAGACTTTTGATTTTTTTTCAATCTTTAAAAATGTGAAAACCATTTTTAGCTCATAGACTATACAAAAACAGTTGGTGGGCCAGAATTAACCCATGGTCCATAGTTTGTTGATCATGTTCATCAAATTTTTTGTACAAATCAGTGCTTTAAAATAATACCTGCTTGTTAACATATTATGAGTTATATTTATGAAAAAATATATGAGACAAATACCACAAAGGTTTCAAGACTGCTAAATTAATATAGGGTTATGTTTTGCCATTGGTGAGCATGGTGTTGTTTTTTTTTTTTATTTCAGCATATTATGGGAGTACAAATTTTAAGATTGCGTGGTGTTCTAAAGAGTCAATTTTTAACTGATTTATATTGCATAAAAGCAAAGTGGAAACACCCATTATTCATTTTGGAATTCTATTTTCAACCCCCTGTCAGCATAATTCAAGCCAGCAATTTAATGAGAGAACATGAATACCAATTTCTTTAAACACTGAAAATTAACAGTCTTCAAATAGCTTATATCAGCATATGCAGGGCTAAAAATTGGGTTCAATATGACTTTTTATGAGATGTTACTCATGACCTAAATATAATCTTTTGGAGAGATTAGAGAAGAATAATCTGTAAGCCTCAGATTCAAATAGCGTTTACTCAGGGGCTTTTCTGTTCTAGCACTTTCATATTCAATAATCAGCAGGCCATGGCAATGGTCAAGAGCAGGGGTCCTCAAACTATGGCCCGCAGGCCTCATGCGGCCCGCAGAGGACATTTATCCAGCTGGCCGGGTGTTTTTGCTACCCGCTGCCTGTCCTGCTTAGCAGCTGACTCGTCCTGGGCCCACAGTGCGCATGTGTGGAATGTGCGCCGCACTCTCCAACGGCCCTCCAACGGTCTGAGGGACGGTGAAGAACTGGCTCCCTGTTTAAAAAGTTTGAGGACCCCTGATCAAGAGGAAGACAATGGTGTAGGAAGTGAAGTGACCTGTCCAAGCCCCAAAGCTTCTGACTCTTGGCCCAGTTCTCTTTTTAGGACATCATGATCCTTTCCTTCTCTAGGGTTTCATGAGCCAATTCTGCTCAGGGAAAGAATCGTACCGTAGCCTGTGAAGTCTGCATCTGTTGACGGGCACGACGGAGGTGGTGCTAACGGTATCTCTTGCGACCCGAAGGAGACTTTCGTTGAATATTTTTGCTGTTTCATCTGGCTGACAGCCTACAAAAGAGAATAAAATTAGGTAAATGTCAAGGAGGAGAATGGTAACAAAAGAAGACTTTAAGAGTGGTGTATTGTTGCCCAAAGAAGGGTGCACTCTGGTAATTATGTTTTTTGAGACTATAGGGTGGGAGAGGCGGCATGAGGAAGTTAGGATGACTTTTACCTCGTTCCCCTATGATTCCCTATTTAACTTTACATCTAAAAATGCGCTGGGGAAGGATGGATCAAGGAAGGGAAGAAGGATAAACGCTGAAGATACTCTATCCCTGTGATCTGTATAAGAAGCTGGGGGTAGCAGAACAAAAATGTTTGCAATTTCTACTCATTCTGATGAAGTCAGCATGAAGTTCACTTATCTGTGCTGTGCCCATTGAAAAACAGTCGATGGTGCAGATGTTCTGAGTATACATGGTCCACCTGTTCTGGACACACTCACAATAGTCACAGATGCATTAGGTAGGTAAATTAAGCAACATGAGGAACAGAAAGAGAAAACAAGCATCTACTGAAAGCCTACTAAATGCTAGGTATATCAATTGCATTTAATTTGCACAAAGGAATTGTGCTTTGATACCCAGTGCCTAGAACATAGCAGAGACTCAATGAATGAATGAATGCATGAACAGATGAAGAGCAAGACTGAAGGCATGAGAAACTCAGAGTAGGAAATGAAGTTACAATTCAATGAAGGTAAGGGACCTTTGGTGTGTGGGCTTTGGAAGACTAACTTGTAATTCTGTATTTTTGCTGTCAATACTGCCAATGAATATTAGTATTAAAAAAATTAAGAAAAGCCAAAAGAACACCATGCTTGTTTAATAGGCAGTTAAGAAATATAGATAGTAACCTGACCTGCCTTCTGGATGTGTAGTTAGCCAGGGAACCCATGCCCAGCTGGAAGACTTTGGTGGAGGCAGTGAAGCACCAGGCTGTCCCTGGAGTCTGGAAATAGGACTGAGGTTACTGCTCCAGAACCATAACACCTCAAGATGCTGTCAGTGGAAGGCTGGGCTTCAATACAAGGCATTGTATAGTGTGTAACTACTAAAATAATATCACCCACTATACATTTGTATTGTGCTTTCCAGTGTGCACGATATGTTTACATCCGTGAATTCATTCAATCATGCGAACAGCCCTGAGAGCTAGACCACATTATTCCCTTTTGAAGACAGATGAAGACACAAATGTCAAGTGGCAAATCTGAAATCACATTGCTAATTAGAGGAAGAGGTAGGACGGAAAGTCAGTAGTTGAAGAATGCTACAAATTTAAAGTGTTTATCAAACAGCTGCTGGGCAATGATTCTATGGATGTTCATTTTTTTCCCTGCAGATTTTCTACCACCATCATTTCATACTGACTGTATACTTAATTTAAAAGACTTATTCAATTACGTGCACACACATATGTATATATATATATTTTTTTTTGTTGTTGTTGTTTGTTTGTTTGAGACAGAGTCTCACTCTGTCAACCTGGGTAGAGTGCAGTAGCATCATCGTAGCTCACAGCAACCTCAAACTCCTGGGCTCAAGGAATCCTCCTGCCTCAGCCTCCTGAGTAGCTGGGACTATAGGCGCCATGCTACCATATCTGGCTAATTTTTCTATTTTTAGTAAAGAAAAATACTTCCTGACTAGAATGCAGATGTGTTGGCAGTAAATGATTTGAGGACAGTAGAGTGATCAAATAAGAATGGTACAGTAATCAGATAAGAGGTACTTGGGCCCATGACGCTGTGGAGACACCATATTATCCCCAAACTGATCATACCCAGACTCCTATGTAAAAAAGAAACTTCTGGCAGCAATTGAGCCTGTGTCTTAACTCATACAGTACTTGCATCCAACTTTCATTTTGTAACATCTCAAGAGAGAACATGGATTCCTAACAAAGATGAATGCAAGCTACAGGGTTCTTTTATGAAAAATCATGTGAATTTTAAAATAGGAAAGCCCAAGAGAGAGCAGTCACTAGATTATGACTTCTATAATATTAGAGAATGTTGTTGCTTATCTCTATATCCCAGTTCCATGTAGTGTCTGGTACATCATAGGTGACCAACAGATATTGGTAGAATGGAATTCAATTTAAAAATAACGAAACAGTTCCCCTTTTAAAAGTACTCAGTGGGCCTTTTGCTAATGACTCATTGAGCCGTCAAGAAAGGGCAGATTGAAAGCACCGCTTTTGGGTGAAGTGGCAGCATTTTGTGTTGTTTGCCTCAATCGGTCATGTGACAAGGTAAAAAACAAACAAACAAATAAATAAATAATGAAACAGGCTGGACATGGTGAATCCTGCCTATAATACTAGCACTCTGGGAGGCCAAGGCGGGAGGCTAGCTTGAGGCCAGGAGTTCAAGACCAGCCTGGGCAAGAGCAAGACCCTGTCTTTACTAAAAATAGAAAAAAAAAATTAGCTGGCCATGGTTGTGCGCGTCTGTAGTCTCAGCTACTTGGGAAGCTGAGGCAGGAGGATTGCTTGAGTCCAGGAGTTTGAGGTTGCTGTGAGCTAGGCTGACACCATGGCACTCTAGCCTGGGCAAAAGAATAAGATTCTGTCTCAAAAAGAAAAAGGAAACAGCTCATAGAAACCAAGTGAATCATCCAAACCTACACGTGTATAGGCAGACCTCTTGGTAGATGTGGTGATGGAAGAAGGTGTGCTCCCATGACTCACTCACTGGCACAAAACCAAACTACTAAGTATGAAAGCTCATACTTAGTTGCTGTGATATGTTTCTGTGTTAGATTACAAGAGTTGGGACAAACTTTACAGGTCGTTCAACCTAACTAAACCAGTGGTTCTCATCCCTGTTTCATAATAGGAACACCTAGGGAGCTTTTAAAAATTATGGATGCTGGAACCCCTACCCAGACCAAATAAATTGGCAACTAGGGCTGTGGAGCCCAGGCAAGGTATTTTTTTTTTTTTAATTTTTAAATTAAATCTTATTGCTTAACGTTTAAATCATGGATTCTTAATCTAGGGCTTCTAAGAGATCCACAGAGGGATTTGCAGGAGCTATAAAATCTTTGTGGGGTATAAAAAGTATTTGTATCAGTGTATCTCTAGGGACAGGGTGTATAGTTCATCAGGTCCTTGTGACAAGAAAACAAAAACTCAAATAAAGACAAGAATTGCTAAGTTTGCTACCACTAATTAACTATGCAACCACAGACAAGTCACTTGACCTCCTCATCTGTAAATTGGTGGCAATGCATTTATACCTTGCAAGGTTTAAATAAATAAACCTGTTACTATTAATTACCTATTAATACTTGTCCTTTTAAAACATATTAATGACCAGCCAGCTTCTGACTGAAAACTTTTAGGGATGGAGAATTCCATTTCCATGAAGAACTTCCAAAATAACAGCTCAAAGGGCTGGGAAGTTCTTTTTATAAAGAGCTAATGCAGCCTCACTGTAAAGGCTGCCCACTGATCTCTGGTCTGTTTCTCTTTCCCCAAAGAGAAACAGTAGGGAAAGTAGGGAAAAGAAAACCAGATAATGTTTAGGATGTGCCCCAGCTCTAGGGTTATGAAATTTTAGAAATGTGCCTTGAGATAGATAGTACTATATAAAGTATTAACACATTAATAGTATTTGCAAATATATTACATAAAGCAAAATCTGGTCTTAAAAATTAATTGCATATAGGTTTTCAGTTGAACCGAATTTGGTTATTTTTAGGGTTCTTTCTACACCTATTTGTTTTTAATTAGCTTTTCAGTATATAGTTTTAAAGAATTTTCAAAGGTATTTTCTTTGGCAATGTTCAGAATATCACATATTTCTTATAAGCTCTAGTAATCTATAGTTCCTTAAACATAAAAATAGTTAATATAGTAATGATGTAAATTTTAGTAGCACAAAAGTATAAATGAGTACACAGAAATAAAGAACAGGACTTAAAAAAGCAAGGAAAAAGCTCAACAGCAACAAAAGTACATAATTTTGATGGATAAAATTTATAGTTTTTTAAGAGAAGTGAAATTCAAAATGTAAGAAACACTAGTTATTTTTATAGAAATTCTATCATTTGAAATTTTTATTTATGACATTGTATAAGACATGATGCTTTCAAATTTAAGTGCCAGGGTATTCTCAGGCATGTCTTTTAAACACCTGGTTAGGACATTGGTACAAAGAGATGAACACAAGCTATTTCCACACACCTTGCACATAATCAATGATACGATTGTGGATTGACTTCAGGTTGCAGACACACCATAATCTCCTGTGAAGTAATAAAGGATTTGATCTCACTGCAATCACCTCCTTGTCTTCTGGAGACCTGTTTATAATGCACACCACCCCAACAGAGCAAAATTAGAAGTGCAATTACGTACATTGTCAGGTGGGTGCTCCAGTGATTTCTGCTGATCTGCCACCACACCTTCACCAATCACCTGGGACATGTCCTCCTGAAATTAAAAAAAAAGATTCAACCAGTCAGCAGCATTGCAAGGCACAAGTACACTTTCCAACTTCAGTAGTTAACACCATTTAACTGGGCTTCGGTCTACTACAAATGACCAAAACACCAGGCATAAACATTCCATTCACCCACTGGACTAACTCTCAGCAATGAACACAGGCTTGTCATTGCTAATTGCTTTTCAGCCCTTTTAATTTAGACCTATCAGGTATCCTTTGAAGGTCATTTCAGCCCGAGTATTTTCTTCTGTCATATCAGTATCCCCTCATAAATATCCTTTCAGGGCTCAAATTCTGACATTAGAATTTATTCCCCTTAAGAAATTTAATTAGAGGCAAAAATCATATCTACAGAAAATACTGTGGGATACAAAGGTAAGTTAGTCCTAAGTTTATCACTCCTCCCATAGAGAAGTACAGTGTCCAGACTTAAGACAGAAGCAAAATACCAAAACGTGGAGAACCTGTGACATGTAGCTAAAGGGCAATTCAATAACTTAAATAAATAATGACACCAATAAATTGACCAGAATATTTATTTCTGCCTCCTACCACATCCTATTCTTTATTTGTAATAGGCAAATTTACAGGGGAAATTATCATCAGATGGTTGACTTCAAGGCGTGAATTGCTGCAGTTGGGCTTGGACAAGGCAAGGAAGATAGAAGAGAGACTACTTTGGATAGGAGAAAGGATGGGTTTACTCTGCCCCTTGGTGAATGTCTGAGAGACACCCAGGTGGTGAGGTTTAGTACACAGACGGCAGGTAGCTAACTGATCTGGAAATGAGAAGAGAGGCATGACTTGTATAACAGAACGTTAGGAGTTTGTGATGCTAGCTCCTCAGCTTGACAGTTCTGCAAACCTGAGCAAGTTATCTGACCTCTTCAAATCAAGCCTTAATCTCCCCATCTATGAATAGAAAAAAAATTTTTTTTCTTAGAAATATCGAAAGGACTAAATGAAGCAATATGTGAGTGCATTTTGCACTGTACCTGACAAATAAATATTTAACAAAGATGTCAATGATGATAGTAAATGGAACTGGGCTATGACAGCTCTGTGTTTCTATTGTACTACAGGGCTGGGTCAGTAGAACAATGACATGGACAGGACACTTTCTCCTTTGGGGAATGATGAAATAACTATCTGACCTCCCCTACCCAGGGTTTTCTTCCTAGGCATGCTCACATTCCCTTTCTTCAATAGGCTCCTGTCAGATTCGTAACAATGTAATAGAAAATCATCAGTTTATGTCTAGCTGTTCATTATTATTAGATTAGGTTACACTTTCATCCTGTGTCATCAATTTCCTATTGGTTTCTAACCTGAGAGATTTCAGTACATAATATCCCGAGACTGGAATCTAGGTCCCACAGGTGACTGTGACCACCCTTAGCTGCCTACTTTCTAACTTATTTTTTAGGGCCAGACCTATCTCACTCATTTAGATTCTATTTTCCTCCCTTAGAGGAAAGATCCTAGAACTGCTCCCCTCTTTTAAATTTTGTTCCTAAACAGATTATATAATATAAAATGAATGCAAAAGTTACCTCATCTCATAATTCTTTCCCGAGACCCTGGTGGTGCCCTTTCCATAGCATGAATTAATTTATCACTATTTTTGCAACATTATATTGTATTCATTATATTGTGTCCCATTAGTATGATCAACCTTGTCTTATTTCTTTCTCTGACACATGGTAGAATAGAACATGAGCTTTATAAAGGTTTAATGCTGAATGAATCAAAGTTTGGAAACTTAAACCTTAAATGCACCTGGGTGGATTTCAGAGTCAGCCATGAAAGGAAGGACGCACAAAGAAAGTGACTCTGTGGCCTTCACTTTAAAGGATCACAGTTGAAAAGGGAGAAAAAAAGACATGGAAAGTCAATAAGGCTCATGGGAATTTTTTTTTTTTTTTTTTTGAGACAGAGTCTCGCTTTGTTGCCCAGGCTAGAGTGAGTGCCGTGGCGTCAGCCTAGCTCACAGCAACCTCAAACTCCTGGGCTCGAGCGATCCTTCTGCCTCAGCCTCCCGGGTAGCTGGGACTACAGGCATGCGCCACCATGCCCGGCTAATTTTTTATATATATATCAGTTGGCCAATTAATTTCTTTCTATTTATAGTAGAGACGGGGTCTCGCTCTTGCTCAGGCTGGTTTCAAACTCCTGACCTTGAGCAATCCGCCCGCCTCGGCCTCCCAAGAGCTAGGATTACAGGCGTGAGCCACAGCGCCCGGCCTGGCTCATGGGAATTTTAGAATAAAAATTCTAAGCTGCTTTCTAAACAGAAACCATCGGTGTTATTCCTTCCACTGTGAATCGAATGGCCTGAGCAGCAAAAGTGAGTGCCTCTATTTGAAAATTATACTGCAGATCTGCAATTCGACCTTGTTTTAAATCCCAATTAACCAGCGGTGGGACACAGGAGTTGATTTCCTACCTTACAGATTTAAAAATCCAATTTGCATATCACATAGAAGAACTACTAATTTGGTTTAATTCTTCCTCATCATTCGCACTTGTTAATAGAAAGAAATGGCACTGGAAGAGCTGTCGGAAAATCTGGGTTCAGATCGGTTCCCCTACTTATCAGCAACAGTAGTGCCAGAAACCTTCGTTTTTGATGAAAGTGAGAATGCAGTAACAGCTTCCTGAATAAGGGGATGAGAGCAAAGTTGAATCCAACACGTGTTTACTGAGCATATACTATGTGGCAACAGTGAAAAAGACTGACAGATGGAGCCCTGGCACTTGGCACATTTACATATCTGCTGAGACAGACAGTAAAGAAATGATGACAGAAATGATGAATTACAACTGCATGACACACATGTGAACGTATGTGGCAGGTAGCAAATGTCTGAAGTGTTAGTTTCCTTCTCCTTCTCCTATCTTGTCTTTAAAAATGTAGAAGGATGAGATGAGGAAATCAGATTTGTGAAAAGCATCTGGTCCAACACACTGTCCCATTTCTTAGACTGATTACTCATAAACCTCCGGGCCAACAGATGGGGCTCGTACATGATGGTGATCATTATGATATCTAACCCTTCCTGACCCTGACCGTGTGCCTGTTCTAAGCCAGGCACATTACACATTTGCTGATGTACACAACAGACCTATGCATTAGATACTGTTATCATTCTCATGTAGGGAGCCTAAATTATTTGCAAGCCAGAACTTTAACCCAGACTCATCTTGCTCCAGAGCCCTTGCTCTTAAGCAAGGAGTAAACCACAAGAGAAAGGGAAAGCACTTTACCTACTCCCAACAACACACACAAGATTCTTAGCCTTGATGCAGTGATTCCATTTTTAGATTCAACATTAGGTCAGATCAAGTCATGCCTACTTATTATGAACCTGGGATGGGAAAAAAAAAATTCATGGTGCTAGCCACTGCAGTGACCTTGGGTCTCTTTGCTTTGTGTCTTGTGTTTAAATATGTATTTAGAATTTGCTAATCACCCAACTATTGCACCAAAGGAGCTCTTAGTACCTTCAAAGCTGAGGGTTTAGGACATTGGAAGGGGTTGACTTTGCACAGGGGAGCCCTAAATAAGAAGAGTGAGGAGGCATTGTGGAAAAATCATCTCATTTCATGAACTAAACTGATATGACACATTCTTTTCTTTTTTTAAAGGCAAAAGCAACTTTACTCTTTTTTTTATTTTTATTTTTTCTGAGATAGAGTCTCACAGTGTTGCCCGGGCTAGAGTGCCGTGGCATCAGCCTAGCTCACAGCAACCTCAAACTCCTGGGCTCAAGCAATCCTTCTGCCTCAGCCTCCCAAGTAGCTGGGACTACAGGCATGCGCCACCATGCCCGGCTAATTTTTTCTATATATATGTGTTAGTTGGCCAATTAATTTCTTTCTATTTTTAGTAGAGATGGGGTCTTGCTCTTGTCAGGCTGGCTTTGAACTCCTGACCTTGAGTGATCCTCCCGCCTTGGCCTCCCAGAGTGCTAGGATTACAGGCGTGAGCTACCGCACCTGACCCAAAAGCAAGTTTATTGAAGGGAAAATAAAAAGAGGCCACCCTATAAACAGGGCAGCAGCTATCTTTCAGACCAACAGAGAGTAGCCAGATACGACACATTCTGTCTGCATTATTATGTTGTAATCCTCAGCACAGTACTGTGAGCTCCTGAAAGGAAGCTCTGTGGGCCAGGGAAATCACTCTGGTCAAGAAAAGGGGCTTCCGAGGGGTGTATATAAAAGGCAACACTGACAATATCCTATGTAACAGACGGGTGAGAAGTTCGGACTATAGTCCCCAAATCTGGTTGAATTCTGTTCCAAAGCTGGGCCCCTTCTCTCTGGCCACTGTCATTGGACCAACGGTGGACACCTGCACCAAACAATATCATCCTGTAGATCCCCACAGTGGAGCCAAGGGAAGAGAGTCAGCTGCTTTCTGGCGGCAAGGCTTGGGAGCTCTTGGCAGCCAGAGTGGCACCATGCCAGAGAAGCAAGTCTGTGGTGGAAGAGAACCAAACAGATAAGCAGGGACACCCCTGCAAGCCTCAGGTCTCTAGGTCCCACTGTCCCTGAGGCTAAGTGTCAACCCTATCTTGCCTGGACCAGTCCCAGTCTACTTCCTATGCATCTAACTACCTGGATTAGGTGAAATCATATCAGCAAAAGTTCCCACAGCACCTTACCTTGCCTTGCCTTCAATAATACTCATTAGGAATCACTTATCTAAAGTTGGATTCATATCCTGACTGTGACACTTATTACCTGAGTGTCTCTGTGCCTCAGTTTCATTATCTGTAATATGGGGATAGTAATAGGATTGATCTCCTAAAATATACGAATTAATACACTTAGGATAATGCCTACCAGAATGCATAGTAAATGCCATGAAAGCCTGTTATTCTCAGCAGTTCCCTGAAGACAGAGACTGTGTGTTTGTTCACTGCTCTATGTGCTGTTCATTTAGCACAGTGCCCGGGACATACCAGGCTTTCAATATAAA